ATATAAGCTAAAATGTGCTCTGCAGTCCGTAAATTATGGATGATACCTGGTGGTTCTTTTGGCTGATACGTACGTCTGACATATGCTTGCATAATAAATGATAAAAATAATGTTCAGGAGCGAGTGAAATATTACTGCAAGTAGAACACCGAGGAAAAAATTCTCCATCTACACCTGAAAAAAGTTCACATCAGTTGATGCATCATCTGAATATAACAGAATTCGAATGCAGTTAAATTATCTACTGAGTAGACTTTGATAAAAGAAATATATTTTTGACAAACATTCTCGAGGCCATTCTTCGCAAGCAGTTCGATGAGATAAAAGATACTGCTTTTCAACAAAACCAATTCCGCACTTGGAACATATGTACAGATGAGAATTAACAAAATGATTAGCTGATTCTATAAATGAATCCCATTTTGCCTAAAATAATATTTTTTATACTGCAAGTTTTATTTTTAACGATATCAGGTTCAGAATAAGAAATAAACAGAAAACATGATTACTTAATAACATAGACAATTTAATCATGAAAATTCACTGCTCTTTGGCTTTTACAACTGCGATGCAGTTTAAAAACCTCTAAAATGCATAGATACTTCTCTAATGAGCACCCAGTAAAACAGATGAAAAAAAAGGATAATAAAGGAACGTCCTAATTCCTAAGGAATATAACTACTGGAATTGAAACTAAAGGAGTTTTTATCATTAACAAAAAAACTTACAAAGCAAACCAAACATTTTTTTTCTTCCATAATTGAACCTGAAGATAGCTCTGGAACTGAATGACCTAAGGTTGCTTCTGCTTCTAATGTTAATGAAGTTTTCTGAATAAGTTCTTTCATTACAAAACAATCAAAAGATTTAAAAGTACATTTCGATTATCTAACTGTTTTCAAATACTTTTAAAACTTCGTAAAAGCTTATCCTTCTTCACGTTAAAAATCAAGAACGATTAAAAACTTCCAGTAGAAAATTTCGAGATCAAATTTGAAACAGTACCTCAAAAACTCTTCCTGATAGGAAGCTGGAATAATCATGTAACTCAGCATTGATTTCTGTAATTGAATTAAAACCAGTTTTGTGTTTTGTTTCAATATTATTTTTTCAAAAAATTAAAAAATAAGAACATAGAAGTATTTTTCAACTGTCTACGTTAATACCGTTTATTTTTGTAAAAAAATAAATGCTTGTAACTTTTGTGGGTAGAAAATAGAAATATTTTATGGATATGAAGTCATGTTTCTTGAACAAATTCGTTAAGAATCTTTACCTTCAATTTCAGACGATTGGAAACCCTTGCTTTCATTGTGTCTTAAACCACCTGTTGCTGTTAAGCCCAGTTCCAGATTTATTCCCGTTGCAAGATCTGTGCCCGTATTCTTGTCATTTGTTGGAAAGTATTCCATGAGACCAATTGTTTTACGACTTTCTGAAATTTGTAACTACTATATCTAAAAATAACTTATCATCTTTATTTCCTCACAAAACTGCAAATGAAACTGGCCTGGAGTGTTATAATGTACGAGAGTACCATGTTGCAATGCTAAGTGTCGGCGCAAGCTGTAAATCGAGCAACAAGTATCTGTGCATTCCGGGCAACTAATGCGGTTATTAGGTGAACAATGCAACGGCGATAAACGGATAACCTGTGAAACTAGCATGATGAAAAGACAGCACTTTCCTTTACTTGCAGACTTATATGACTGAAGTTTGAGTGCACATGCTAGCTCTAACTTAACTATCAATACTTATGTACTATGATGCAACCTTGTTATATTAAGTAATGAATAATACATGGCTGGATATGCAAATTACAACTTAATGTATTCAATTCTAACAAATATGCAAATTACAATTTCGTCATCTGTTAGATCAAAGTGCTTTTCCGCATTTAGCGACTCGACATCCTTCTGCAAGCAATTACGGAGATGCTTCAATATATCATCTTTTCCCACATGAAGACCTTTACATCTGACACAGAGAAAAACACTAAAAAACGAAAATTTAAGACTAGAATCACACAAGTGGAGGACGAGGTTTCCGTATTTGTCATTATTAATCATCGTATTGTATACCTGTCATCAATAACAGCACCAACTGCTGTGTCCAAAATAGAATCCTGTTTGTCAACGTAAAGATGCCCTTCTACAGTAAACTTTTCTACCAGTGATTTAATTAATGATTTCTCTTCCACAAATGAGTTTGAATTTGATTCAGATTTTGTACAATAACAAAGAGTGGATGGTTTCGAGTCATTTACTAACTAAAAAATTCAACCATCAAAGAACAAGATAAACGATGAAAAATGTTGCGTGAACTTCTTTCACAGCAATATCTTATTCAATTCCATACATTTTTGTATAAATAAAAAAATTCAACTTCATAAAAAATGTAAAACATATTTAAATCAACCTGTGAGTGGGAGTGGAATAGCTTACTTGCTTTAACTGCTTGCAGTAATAACATGAATTATGACTGAATCCATTACTATATCTATCTGTCTTATTGATCAGTTTTTTCATTAATAGCGACTTCTCAAACGAGGAATCTTCATTTTCGGAAACCTAAAAGACCAAAGGTAAGTAAGATCTATCTAGCTCCTGAACAACCTAAATTATTCTCGAAATTATTAATAACTAAAGAAGCAAGAACGTGAAAATATGGTAAGCCTCTTTTCATATTTTGTTTGGCACAACAACAAGCTTCTATTACCGGGCTCACATATGGTAAACTGAAAGAAATTCTTAATAAAGAGAACAAAAATAAACTCAAAAGTGATCAAACTCATAACCAAACAAATAACTAATGCATAGTAATTTTATGTACTGACTCATATGCAGTAAAAAACTATTAGTGACTTGTAAAAAAACAATTAATATTAACATCATCTAATTCGTCAACTCGAGATAACTCTGTTATATTGCAACCAATGGCATTTTGCAGTACGGGTCCCATTCTAAATGTTGTATTGTCAAAAAATAATGGAGAACAAAACGTCGTCCTTTCCAACAAACTGACCATAGAATGCATATCTTCAAAATGTGACAGAAGATGGTCCCTACAAGCAATTTAAAAAACTAAGTTTCCGTTACATGAACAATGTGCTTACAACTGATTTCATTCCAATTCAAACATTTTTAAGGAGCTATGAAATTAAAAATGAGATTACCTGAAAAAGATGTCAGTGACATAAAAGACTGGACAAAGGGGACATTGTAATTTATGCACTCGATCGGAATGCTTGATCAATTGATGATTTTCAATATCCAAGGCCGAAATAAATTTGTGTGAACAAAATTCACATTTTATTGGTATTTCATATTTCATCGAACAACTTTTTATTTTCACATATTCCACTCCAGATGGTTGGACAGCAAATAGCGTTATACATGAGACCAGCTTCTCGCTATTATGGTAACTCTAAATTTCAATGCATTCTCAGTATAACAGATATAGTTGCAATCAATATTAGGAAAATTTTTAGTAACTTTCAATACAGCGATTTAATTTTTTTCAATATTGAAACAATTTAACCAGTTAAAGTGATGCAATTTTCCACGTTGTTTACAATTAAAAATGAAAGTTAATTAAATCGATGATCCCTTATAGCAGCATTACTTATAAACTTTAATCATATTCTGCCGCTGCTCAATTCTATATTTACAACAACTTTTAATACCAGACGAAAATTTCCTGATAACATAGTTTGAAAAATGTCATAAATTAATGCAAGCAGTAAGTAAGAGATGTAAAACATGAAAAAAAAATTCATTAAAACCAACTAATAAACGCTGAAGTCTAATGTGCCTTTTGTAAGCAGATGAACGAGTCATTCGTAATGGGATTTGGAGATTACATTCAGCACAAATCATAGTGTGCATTGCATACTTCATTTGTAGCTAAAAATTTGAAACGTAGAAAACTCACATTGTAAAAAATTATTTCACCGCTCGTACTCCTTTTTTACCTTATTTCACACAACCTGTTTTCTACTTTTCAACACTGTTTTTCGTTTATAATACAATTCAACATTTTATCCACAAAAAAGCAACAAAAAGTTTATAATTTGAGAAATGCTGAATTCGTGAAGAAAACCTAAAAATTTCAGATCTCATAAGTATTTCCATAACTAAGACAATAAATCGGAAGGAGAGCTGTAAATCTTCTACTCCAAATTAGTGAATTAGCTAATAACGAGTACCTTTAGGTTTTGAGTTTCCAGCTCCACTGTGTATTTAGAAAAATCTTGGCAACCATGCTTCTTTAATAATTCAAGGGAAATAAATCCTTCGAAACAAAAATGACAAGCATGAACATACACGTGATGATGATTGTATAAAATGTGTGACTGAAAAATTAATTACAAAAGACAATAAAAGGAATATACGAAGAACTTGTCACCTCAAATGTAACCCATGATCCTTTTAGTTTAACGAAATAATTCTAAACAAATGAGAGGATGATAACAAGAAATAACAAAAAAAATTTTGCCAAATGAAAATTTACAATCAAAATTTATAATTATTCTCATCTTTATTTAAAACCCTTATTGTAAGAATATGCAAATTTAGTTCACGTATTAGTAAGGCAGATTCTTTACATATCATTCATTCCTTTCAATGAGAGGAACGGAAAAACTTTAAACTATTTCACCCCTTAATGAACTAAAACCGTTTAATATTATAGTAATTTGATCTGGCCCCAAACTAAAATTATAGATTTAAAATAAATTAAGAAACCTGCAACGAGTCGTTTTTCAAAATAACATCTTCACAAAATGGACAACGTATTTGTTCATACTTTGCTCGATAACGTTCATCTTCCTTTTGCTTTTTAACCATTCTTGACATAAACTTGAATTCGGTAAAAGGCATACTTGGGGCGCAATGAATTTCTGAAAAAAAGAAGAGAAGATTTTGCAAAGAACTAGGAACTTTAATAAGCTTGTAATCTTACCACAGACACTTCTCATATAAAAGTATACAATACAATTCTGTCATTGTTTAATTCGGTAAGAGTATGTTTTACAGCCTTCGATAATAACTTCAACTTAAAACTTCGAAAGCATTCAAATTTTATTAATAATTAAAGTTTAGAATTCACAGTCTTGAAATTCTCTTACTTATTATATCCTTACATTGTTGGGATCCAAAATTTCCACCTGCATTTTTTCCCTAAAAATATTTCTCTGAAATAAGTCATAAAAATTAATGCTCATCGCTTTGATAGGCATTTCCATACTGAATATTTAGCACATAAACATCAAAAATATTATTATTTAGAAAAACAGAATTGAACAAATTACCTCTAGTTCTGATATGTACTTCGTCTGAATAATTTTCCTTGCTTTTAGCTCGTACTTCAATCGTTCCTTCTCACTCAATTGACACCACTGAAATCTAACTCATTAATTACTAAAATAATTTCTAGAAAACAAGTATCAAGTAACTTTAATATAAAATAGGACATTGCAAAAAATTTCATCAATATGGTTTAAGAGATTTACTGCATATCGTAAAATTTGCGCAATACAGAAGTCCACATTTTGCGTACTATACATCATGGAGATAAGACTGTCCACATTATCACTGCAAAAAGTTAAGCAAAAATATTGTATACAATTTGTATATTTTAATACTACAAATGAGAATATTTTGAACAAAAAGTAAATTAAAAGACGTAAAAAAGTTCATGATTTGACCCCAAATTTAAAATCATATACTCTGATAAATTTCGGAAGTTTGCAAAACATCTCTTCATAAAACTACTCAGCATTCTTCCTTAACTAATATTCTTTTTCGTCTGCAACTATTTGCAGCAAAACCTAAAACTGACAATATCTAGATAGACTAAACAATTTCAGCAAAGTGAAAGTGATCTTCACAAGCACTATTTGTATTTCTCCAGAAAGCAGAAGTACTTCATCATTTTAAACATATCATTAAAAATCAAATAGCAATTGTAAGTCTTTGCAAATACCAATAACGATACATACCATAAATCTTTAAATATCGCATCAGTTATGAGTCGAAGGTATAATCGAAACCCACCGCTCATAAATTTAAGATTCTCAAAAATATATGAGTGGCCAACAAGAGCTCTTATAGCCTGTGAATCTGTGTTCAGTAAACGTTTGTAACCAACCAGGTTTGCAAAAGTGATAGACTTCTGATTTTCCATGATCTACAATTTTTATCAAATTAAAACAAAGAAAGGTCGGCGACTCACTTTCTATGCAAATGAAGATATGA